TTTTCTTATTCTTTCTCCCAGGCCGTTGGCTTGGCTTGCATCTAGCCAAAGCCTCAAATTCAACAACCGAGATGAGAACTTGAACCAGATTTGCTGTTCTTCAGCATCATCTCGTTGTCCATCAGTTGAATATAATCTCATGAGATTTGATGAGCAACAAATCCGGTTCTCAGTCAGTTAGATTGAGACAACATGATCCAATCCAATTGGGCCAGCATGGATAGATGCATGATTCCAATCTCAACGAACAGAGTTCCTCAGCATTTTGCTCAATAAAAAAATGCGAAGACAAAGAAGAGAAGAACATTATTATTTTCTCCAGAAAGGGTCCAGCATGTCAAGCATCATTGCGTAGCCAATCAGGCTTGTACGTTTTGCAGCTAGAGCGGTCACTGATCACTGACTCTTTGGGCACAGTTGCTACTGGGAAAAGAATGGCACTCCAAGTGGGTCAGAACTTAATCATGTGACGGCCACTGTGACGGTAATGGATGACCACAAAGATGTAAAAACCAACACCACTGGCATGAGTACTCATAGCCCATAGCCATCACTGATCCCACTCGGTTTGATGGCCTTGCAACTTTGCAGAGTAGATCCCGACATCTCAGGCGCTACACATGAAATGGTTTTCAAACTTTCCATAGGATGAGGTTGACTCAATCTTCAAGTTTGTCGTGATCTTGCCAGCTAATGCCTCACTTGTTGTCGCTCCATTCCTGGCCAGGTGAGGAAACAAGTTTTTGGACGAGGAGGCACCAACCAGGGATGGATACGAAGTTTGTAGATAATGCCCACAAGACATGCCATGATCCTTTCTCGAAAGCACTGGAGAATAACACGCGGCTATATAAAAACAGTCAGTAATTCAGCCACGTCAAGTCCAGTTGTACAGATTGCCAAGCATTGCATTCAGCCCGCCTCGGAGGGTTTCATCGCTGCGCTTTCCTCCGACCTTTGAAGGTGCCCATGCATCTGCATTTGCATTTCATTTGATTCAGTGGTCTTTGTACACTGTTATATAGTGATATGTTTCTATCGAATAGGATGGTTCTATTTTTGTCTCCATGCCATGGTTTTCAACACGTAAGTCCAAGTGATTTGCAGGCCGTGAGTTTTTTTTTCTGCCAGAGCCTCATTCGCTTCCACGCTGTCGTGGTGTGATGGCTGTACGTGGAACCAAGTTCTGTGTCGGTTTATCCTTGGCATACCCAATCTAAGAATCTGATCATGAATCCATCAAGAATATGATGGTATGAGTTGGGGGACCGGCATGAAGGTAGGTAGGTTTCTGTGGTTTTCGAAACTTATTGAAACAATTTTGATGCATTGCTGAAATTGTCAGGTCAAACAATCCCAAAGCTGTAGAAGCACCAGAAACTGACTGCCCCAATGTATTTCCATACTAAGAAAACATCAACCCGCATACACCTACAGAAGCTGTAAGACCTCATGACCATGATCACTGCTAGATGTTTGAATTGCACTCAGGAGTTCCAAGTGGATCCATAGATTCGGGACATTACAGCATCGAAAGCGGTCAGAGCCTAAGAGATGATTTCCAACATTTTCAAGTGTCAAAGTTGCACATAGATGTCCATAGCCATGTCTGAAGCAGAGTGGGAAATTTTGTCAAACCATCATTTCGACAAATATTTAAAAAGCTAAACAGAACCATCTTGAATTAGTGAGCTGTCTCGCATTGGGAAGTAAGTGAATCTGAATATATAACCCACTGATTCAACCCCAAAGAACTCCAGGAGTGCATGAAGTTCTTGCCAGCTTTGGTCTTCAGGCAGGCCTGGTTTTCTGACGATTGCTGGATGTTCAGGGGAAGTTTTGGTTGCAAACCTATTGATGATATTCTCCAGTGTGATAATACTAATTTTGTTTTCTATAATTCCTGACAGTTACTCACTAGGTAGTACATAGCGAAAAGACATGATTTTAATATTCCCTGGGGTGGTTCAAATCCCTGACTTGTACATTCACAACTTGTCACCGAAAATAGATGCATAATCAAAGACAGCCCTTGCTTACAGACCTTAGCCTGGAACCAGGGGTTTTAGCAAGGAGTTTGGGATAGAATCCAGCTGGTCTGAGACCAAAAGGCCCAAGATGAAATCCCTGTACTGACCCAATGGTAGAAATGTAAAAATAAAAAGCAAGGGCTTATGATGCTCATGCCAAAAAATCATCAGAACCCTTTGGACTTTCACGAAGCATCTGTTCCAGAACCCTCCGGGACCTCACAAGGTATATGCACTGGAACCCTCCGGAACCTCACCAAGCATCTTCTCCGCCGAAACCACCCAGAACCTCACAAGGTCTCTGCACCGGAACCTTCCGGAACCTCACAAATCTCACAAGGTATCTGCCCTGGAACCCTCCGGAACCTCATCACGTATCTTCACCTAGCCCTTCCGAAACGTCATCAAGTAGCTGCACCGGAATTCTCCGGCCCTCACATGACCGAAAAATGGCGTGTTCATCTGAGCCCTAGTGCAAGGGCTCAGATGAACACGCCGTTCTTGGCCCAACATAGGCTCAAGATGGCCCCAACATGGGCCCCCAAGAGCCAACATTGTCCCAACATGGCCCCCACACGGGCCGATTTTTGGGTCATTTGGCGGCTATGTTGGGCCATTTAAAGCTAAGTTGGGGCATCTTGAATCCTACAAAAAAAATGCGTAAAATTTTATTTTTCTTACGCGTTTTTTTTTGGGTGCATTTTGGAGCCTTCTTGGGTCTATATAGCCTCCAAGAGCCCAACATGGACCAACATAGGCCCAGCATAGGCCCAACATGGGTAACACATAGCCCCATCATCGCCCCCGCACGGCCCAAAATGGCCCAATGTATCCTCCAAGTAGGACCCCAAAAAAATTCCCAAGATGAAATCCCATGAGCTGAGATTAGCCATTTTATTAACTAGGCAAATGATGCCAAAAATAGAATCCAAGGTCTTACAAAACAATCATAGATTCATCATAGAAATAAAATCCCTTGGTCTAGCATCCAACATCTTCTCATGGTTTGAAACCGTGCTCTGGATAAAATCCATGGGTCAAACATCAAATTTGCCCCGGCTGAAATCCCTAGAAGGGTTTAAAGACTTTAGCTCGAGGGTCCAGGCTAGGGGTTTGAGCCAGGCATAAGGAAAGGCTATATTAAAGCGAAGATGACCTTAACTGGAACCCTGCATCCCCGAACAAGTATCAAAACTGGCGCCAAAAAGTGCAGCTGGTTGTCGAATTTGAGTTTGTTCTAGAAAATAAATCCTGACACCATGCCATGCAGCCGCTTTGAGAAAACGTCAAGTGGGATTGGCCTGCAATATGTTCTTTGTCAAGGCTTGCATCCAGATTGTCTTGAGCTGGGGCCTCGTGGTTTAAGTTTCTGTGTGATGCTTGTGGGTTGCAATGTGCAGCTTGGTAGATTCGTGATATAGCCAGTTGTAGTGTACCTTTGATTAAGGGGCATGTCTTCACAGCGGAGAAAGCCCCTCGGCGTTAGAACATCACTTGCCTGCCAATGCTTTCAAGTCTGAGGGTTGCATTGTGCATATACATCATGCACTCTCGTCATGCCACATTGCGACTGTCTGTTTCGCTAGCAGGTTTTTGGCAGCCTTGGGTTCACAACCAGAACCAAAAAAATCTCGAGCCAGTGATCTTAGTCAAGCTGACTGTCCACAGCCGTCCTCAACTTCGAAGTGCCGTGTAACGTTCAGTTTAGACGGACTGGTGGATTTTCAGGCTGTACAAGTGATTGCTGGTGAAGGTGGCAGAGAGTCATGCCGCCCTGCCTCGAATTTTAGGGTCAGACCCAACTACGACAACAGCAACAGGGAACTGATGAAGATCCAGAGGGATCGAAAACCGTGCGCAACTCAGCTTTGGGCCACTGCCGGCATTTGATTCAATCAGGAAAGAAATTGAAAAAAATGAATTGGTCTCAAGTCTGAGCTGATTGCTAGATTTGACCTTTTTATTTTCTGTGTTGGGCTTAGGCATTCTGCCAATGGCCCTTGCGCAAATCGTTTGGATCGATTGCTGTCGCTCCCACAGTGCCGATGCCCTGGAGAGCGTTGCTACAAGAAGTTCAAAGATTCTGACACGAAGGAAAAACTATCCAGGTTTGTGTCAAAATTCTGGACCATGACAAAGGCTTTGCAGGATGCCTATGTGCATAGCTCAGAAAACCATTGCAACTTTCAATTTGGTTTCTTCAATTTCAAACCAAATGAAGCTCACAATTGTTGAGGTCTGAGGGTGGCATTTTGAACCAAATCGGTTTGCGCAAGTCAACGTTACTAGCTGGACTTAGAACACCACCTGAGGTGAAGCAAACTGTGGGCCCGCGGTCAAAGGGGCGAAGGAAATGGTTTTTGCTAGGCCACTGCGTTTCACCAAAGTGCTTTGTTGGCTTGCTCGGCATTGGAAATGGCCGAGTCCAACGAATCTTGGATGGAAAATGGGACATGAGACGATCCTGGGGCATTGTAGCTCGGAGATTGTGCAAGATAAGTTTTCCATCATTCCCCCTGCTTTCAGAAGATTGAATGGATAGAAATCTACATGTAAATTCCTTGCCCAGAATTAGCCATGTCTCCATCATCTACCAGTGAGCCAGGTTGTTCAGAGAACTGCAAAGAAACGCCGGGAGATCAACCTGTTTCTGCTCAAGATGTATATGGATGCAGCAGGAATGCTGCCTCAACGGCAGCTAGTCTTGTATTAAAGGATGGGTACAAGTTGGAACTGCTTGATTCTGACTGTAGATTTCATGGTAAAAGCTCGAAATGTTTGATTCAATCACAGGTGCAAAATTGACATTTCTGATTAATGTTCGCTTCAATCTTTGGTTGAAGTTGGAGCCATTGAGATCGAGTATTTGGTTCAATCCTGGGTTTGCTTCTCGCAGATCCAAGGTTCCAAAGGGGTGCGCGGCAACGATCCAGCAAAAAAGGCCGAAAGGTTGAGAAGCTGTCAGTGGTCATGGAAGACGAAGCCGGTGAGTGTGTGGAACACGATGATTGTGACAGCATGTCATCGTGCTCAGACATGGACATCGTGAACGATGTGCAGCCAGAGGCCATCGAAGCTGATGAGGAGATACGCCTCCACATAATGGGGCTTTCAAGCTACTTCACATCAGTTGTGGAGACGAACTGGGCATCCAAAATCTCGCAATTGCCTACGAGATACTTGCCTCCAGGATCGATCCGATTGCTCTATTTCCAATTCTGTGTGCGGGACGGTTCCCGGTGCAGCTACCTCCACTTCTGGAGAACATAGAGGGAGGTGTGGCACAACGTCCTCAGGTTTCAAGCTCCATCAACCCATGGACAATGTGATGAGTGTGCGAATTACAAGGAGTCCTTTGGCAAAACTGGAGGTGAAGGAGACCAGCATCGCTTTGAGATCGCCCGTGCTTACAAGGAGCATGTCACAGCTGTGGGGCGTGACCGCGAGCTGGAGAAATTCCTGCAGGCCCAAAGGCCACTGGAACAAGGTTCATGCCTTGCAATCCATTGGGAGCCTTGGGATTTGAGTTGGGTGTGGTTTGGATGCTTGTTGCGACAGGTTATTTTCGATACCTGCAACGTATAGGATGCCAGGTTGCATGTCAAAATGTATGTCAAATCAGATTCAACATGAAGAATGTCACTCTTGTTTCAAAATAATGCGTGATTTAAATTACAATGAAGAAAATATCTCACATGTGCGCCAGATAGAGTGTGTCAGAACAAATGTCAGAGATGTCAGAGAGTCTGCCAGTTTGAAAATCAGAACCTTTTCCAGGTGGAATGCCATGTTGAAGCTCAGAATAGAATGCCAGATCGAATGTCTGAATACATGTCAGATAGCACCCGCCAGTAAAGGTTGCAAGATAGACTGCCAGTGCGCATGCCAAATTAAATGTCAGAATTGAAATGTCCAAAAGAGCGCGTCGGAAATTTGACAGAAGGAGTCCAAATTTCATGTCAGAAAAGATGCAATTCTATTTGTTTTTTTCTGACATTCAACCTGGCATACAACTTGGCTTATTTGGTGACATTCTATTTGGCAGTTTTTGCTGGCAAACAAGTATTACATAAATCATTCTCGTTGACAAAGATTCTGACATGACATGTTGATTTGACATTTCTTCTGGTGTGCATTGTGACACTTAGTCTATCTCAATGGGTTTCAAGGGGGAAAAGTTTAAACTTTTTGGGTCCCCCAAGTTTTTTGGTTGTTGGCCTAAAAAAAAGTTTAAAGTGTAGCCACTGGCTGAATAAGTCGTTCTTACATTCTTGCTGGCATCTCTTCTGAGATGTTTTCTTACTGGTTTTAGAGTCAGTTTGCGCTCAGCCAGATTGACTGCTGTTTGGGTCTGTGGGTGCCTGTCTGGTTCTATGGTTCACGATAACAGCTGGCTGATGTTCTGGTCTGTGGTCGGAAGGCACCGGACAATCCTGACAAGTCCTGCAGGCCCTTCCTGGGAGAGAATCTAACTTTTGATGGCATTCTATCTAACGCCTGAAACTTGCACTCTTTTCTGGAATTTCATCCGACCGCATGATTGCCAAAAAATATGTTAGATTGATAGAATTCTAAATTCAATGTCAGAATGTATGTCAGGCAAATAGAGTGCAATTTTGAATGTCAGGAAGAATGTCAAGGCGAATGCCAAGCTGAATGTCAGAATAAATAATGAAATAATGAAATATATGTTTATCAGGCAGAATGCCAGACAGAGTGTCAGTAAATGTAAGAGAAGGTGTTGTGTTGGTGATCACTCGAAGTAAATCAGCTGTAGCATCCATCAGCTTTGATCAAGCTTGATTTGTTTGTGGCAATTCCATCTCAGGACGGAATGGATCAGAGTAAGTGGCGGATACCACGCTACTCCAAGCAGCGCCCCTTGAAATCCACATCAATGCTGCAGCGACCACAGCTGAAGGTTCAAGGATGTTGGGTCCACGGCATAGTTCTGGACCTATGGGTTCCTTGTTGGAATTGCAAATATCTCAGCTGTTCCACATTGTAAGCTTTCAAACGTTGCCCAATTTCTGTGGAACAGATTGCTCAGTTCCACATCCTAATCTTCACGTCAACATAGACTTGAAGACCACAGAAGTATTGGATGGGAATCACCAACGTATAATGTACAGGTGTATCATTTCAAGTTTCAAACCAACAGCTTGATACAATCACTGTGACATGATCTGAAAGGTGCTTGACCCAAGGGTGGCGGCGGACGCGACCATGGTCATCGAATCTGGAGCTCGAAGCATTGATTTCGCGAGGCAATGCTGTGAGGAGAAGCAGGTCAGGTTTCCGGATCAACTCCTGATACATGTACCCCGGCCACATAAAGAACACGTCTTGTGTTTACTTCTTGCACGCCTGGAACTGTTTGGGTGCCTCATGATTCGTGTTCCCTGAAGTTCCGAGGGTCGTTGGGGCGTCTTGAATGCTTGTGTGCAAGCCATCAAATTTCCATTGCAAATTGTTGCTTCCAAAATCAGGCAGACAACTGCGTCAGGGAGACGAAGAATGGTCATCTTTTGAGGTTCTTGTGCTGGCTGTGCAGCAGCCATCGCATACGGCTGGGGGCCTTGCTATTCGGCAGGGTGGGCCACACCCACGGTTGCTTAGGTTGCTGGGCCAATTGCTGAAATTCAACTCTGTCAAACCTAAGGGGATGGTATGGGATGGTAGATGAAAGCACTGAAATCTCGAGTAAGTAGTGGCTGCATGGCATGGTTTGAAAACATGAGAATGGTTTTGATCTTGAAGTCTCACAGTTGGACAAATTTGACAACCAGCCCGACTGGGTTGACTATTGATCTATCTATTTATCTATCTGTTTATCGATCAAGGTAGCCATCGATCTATCTATTTATCGATCGATGCTTCTATCTCTCTATCTATTTATTCATCTATTTATTTATTTATAGTTTTATCTATCTATCTATCTATCTATCTATCGATGTATTGATCTATCGATCTATCGTGGATGTTCTAGTCCCATTGAGGCCGTGCCGGGGAATAGAGACTCGCAATGTTTACGTCCCGCACATGCGTGCAGAAGCACCTGCATGCAGGATGGTTCACGCGCGCGCGCGGCGCGCGCGCGTGAAGTTACTTTACATTTGACATTATGTTTCTGATTCTATTCCCACAAAGCTTTTTTGGGGGCTAACATTTTCTTCTGCAGGAGGTTTGAGTGAAGAGAAGTATTAATCTCAATTTGGCAATATTTTTCCTGTTGCTCTCTTTTGCCCCCCCCTACCTTTCGCCCCCCCCTCTCAAGTTTTCAACATTCACCCAATGGCTACTGTAGACGTACATCAGTGGTTCATCCAAACCAAAAAGTGACACGATTTGACCAACTAATTTCACTGAGACTGATGTTTCCAAGGAAGATTCAATCCATCTTGGAGAGGATTGGAATCCGCAAGTTCATCGGTGCAGCCCAAATCCGAGTGCAGTATCTATCAGTTGTGCGTGACTGGAAATCCTGGCCCCTAGGATCTAAAACAAAATTGTGTCAAATGCTGATTTGTTGAATGTTGCTCATTTACCGTATTTTACAGTATTTCAGATTCAGCAGCCTCTGAAAGGTACAGTTCGGTCAGCATTCCTCTCAGGTTGTCTCGGGCCCCAGTCTCCTTCGCTGGTGGCTTGAGAGACGACGATAGCGGCCACCATTGCTTTGTGGTCATGCGAAGATCAGGCCATATAATAGATTGTTCTCAAAATGAAAACCCCTGATCAAACGGTTTCAAGAATAGAACAGGCAACAATTCTGTCATGATGATGGCTTGTCATTGTTGAAAGATTCACATTCTTTCAATCCAACACTGAGACAAAAACGGTTTTTGTTTGCCTCTTGCACTGTGAGACATCCCGGAGAATGTGACCATCGAAGCCAATGGAAGGGGGGCGCGCATGCCCATGGATCCATCAGATGCCATTTTGCTGGTGAAGCGCTACAGCAGTGATGATCTGTTGTCCCAGGATTGACCATTTCGATGCAGTTGTATCTATTCTGGTGTGATTCAACCCATTTCAATTATTCCATTTCAATGTATGCTTCTTCAAATCCATCTCAACTCCAAAAGTCTACAGACTGAGTTTCTCAGAATTGTTGTCCATGAACTCGCGACTGAAAGTGCAGCCCTGCCAGAACCCGGTCCTGGCGTTTCCACATCGCTATGTGGCTCGGATTGGAGACCCTCCTGGAGAAGGTCAGGTGAGGGCTTTGAAGAGTGTCAAACCAGCAAAGCAGAAGGACTACATAGCTCTTGCAAAATTGCTTTTGGAAAAATATCCACATGAAGCGACCCGTCGTGCGGTTGAATTTTTACTCAGTCTGTGCTAGACTGAAAGGAGACCAAGTGGTCTTCCAGCATTGGGGTGGATTGACAACCCTATCCCACAGCAGGTGATTCAGTTGGGGTTGCCATCTGCACTTGACAGGGTAATCCCAGTCATGAGGTTTCGTGTCACTGTGCAGCCTTGAGCCCAGAGTAATCAGTTGGCTAACAGGAGCTTCATGATGGCTGAGATGAAACTTCAAATTGTTGGGTCTTCTTTTACGTTTCAATGTATCAACCTGATTGATTGCTTGATGGCTCAACTGCCATTTGTTGCGTGAGTAACCTAAGGGTTTCGCAAGCGAAAAAATCCAATATGTGCCATTGCCACCATGCCACCTGCCACAGCACTGGCCACACACTGGCCCTGAGAGTTCCGTCAAAGGTTGATATCAATGTGGTGACACCTGTCTGTTGATTCCGAAGCTTTTTGCCAGGGTTCTTGAAGGGGGTTGCTAGGTTTGGCAGTTGCCAGGGTTCAACTTGCCTTGTCTGGCTTAGGCCTGCTGGATGCAGTACTTTCTGTCTCAAACGGTTTTCATTCCTGAAACTCTCAGTCGATGATATCAGAAAAATCAATCTGCAATTTTGCAAGGGTTTGGTGATAGTGTTGATGTGTAGTCCCATTTTCAAAGTGGTGTCCATTGATTTTGGAGGAATGGCGAGCCAGCCCAAGTTCCATGATGCCACCGCAATCCTTGTCGTAGATGATGCCGCCTTCTCAGCGTCATCCTTTTTGGAATGCCTGTCAGCGTGCTCATGTATCACAATTTTTACTCTGACAGGAACCTGAGACAAAAGAAGCCCCTGCAGAAAAGAAGAAAACTCCCACTTCCGATGATGAGGATTGATTGTGGTACAGTATAGTGCCCAAGTTTGTGTTTCATGTGTGCATGACTTCGATTCTATTTTCAAAAATGTGCAAGGACTATTGGCCACAGGACGACCCGAACCACTGGCTTTACTATGAAGACTCTCAGGCCGGTCAAGTCCACCGTGCAGTTGTGGAACTGTTTGTGTTCAGTATCAATATCACATAGTGGATGACAGATGTGGGTTGCTCCGTCCAGTTGACTGTGGAGCGCTGGCAATCAATTCGAGAGGCTGGCGCAGCACCATGGAAAGTTTCACTAGCAGTTTACAATAGCTTACAAACGTAATGTGTTGGGTCACAAGCCAAAAAATGTCTCAGGACATCCCAAAACCGCTATCCAAGCCAGGCTGACCGCCGCTTCAAACGCAAAACTGGAGGATCATCGAATGATGAGGCAACTTGATTGTGGTTTTTTTTGTATCCTCTGAAGTGCTTCAAACATTGAATTCTGATTGTGAAAATTTATGAAAATTTGGCCCTGACTTCCAGACATCCCTGGAACAGGAACAGGCCTCGAAGAAGCATTGCCAGGAACCTGATGGTTCAGAGCTGCAGTGAATGCCTGGTGTGATCGTCACAGGGGGAAGAAAAGGCTGCTCTGTCCAATCACAGCTGTTGACAACCCGATGAGGTCAAAGAATGTCCAAGTCTGGTCATTGTCATGTCAATGCAATGATGCTGTAGATTCCTGCAGTGCATTCTGGATTACGTGATATTGCAGTGCATTTGCACCTTCAAGCCACACGGAGATCATAGAGGGGGCAATGGCTCCAAAATATTCAGTTAGGGATGGCTTGAAAATCATCACTGGTTGTCGCTGCATGACCCCGAGGCCAGGTATGTTGATTGTTTTTGTCAGCGCCCACTGGCCTGAAAGAAATTCTCAGATACATGGCTTCTGCCTGACAGTGATGTGGGTTTCTTAGTGCATTGGCTTTGGTCCAGGAAACCTGGACGACCAGCTGGAAAGCACAACCAGTTTCCTACTCAGCATGCGATGTGGCCTAGTACATATCACATCATATCACAAAGTCATATGAGTCAGTCAGTTCACTTTCTTTGTTTTCTTGAAACTTGGCTTAAGGCCAGCTGTCGTTTGCAGGTTGGGACGTGAGATTACTGTAGACAAAACAGTTTGAACATGCTGACTCAGGACAAAAGTATTCGGTTTCTACTGCCAACTGGATTTCTTCCTCTTTGTATTTTTTCAATATCATTCAGAATCGAAGGTCCCAAGTGAAGAAGACAATTACAAAGTTGGTGGTTCAGGAAATGATCCAGCTGACTTCAAGATTACAACATGTGCAAACCTGTTATTATCACGCTAGGTTTTTAATCTACAATCAGCCTGCAATATTGCAGGAAGAAGTTCCCGAAGACCAGCGTGCCTCGACCAGCTGATGATGCCAGTCCCCACTTCAGAAGCGTCTTATCGTCTTATTCCTGGGCCGATGTTTGGCTGCAGAGAGCAAGTGAACACTTTGGGAGGGCCTGGCTTACTGGTCGACTCAAGAGATGGAAGTGGCAAATGTGCACGGCGTTTTCTGGAGTTGGAGCTGCTGAAAGTGCAACTTGCAATTGCATTATTTTTAAAATCTTGATATTGAATCAGGTGAATTGGAAGGAATCAATTCCATTCAGTTTTCACTGCGCTGGAAAACATGTTCATCCATATTCCTACTGAGTCAGTCATATCGACCTTCGAGTAAGGCAGCCCTGAGTCTTGAGACCGCGGCCAAAAAGTTTCTGGCAAACCAAACGAAATCTGGCTGCAAGAACCTGCGTCGGCATTTGGTTTTACGGGCAAGCTGTGAGATCTCTGCTGATTGCCAGTTAGTGCTCAGAAACACGTATGGGACATGCAATTTCGGTGACATTTGTGACCTCGACTTCGATTCCGACCGTGGCAGCTTTTGCACTACCCATCAGAAATACTGCACGTTCAAGCGCTGCTCACACCCCAAGCGTATCTTGGTGAAATTCAAGAAAATATGAAACTAGCAAACTAGGACCTGCAGTCATTCCTTGATTGCCCTATTCTTTGGGGCCCTTGGCGTCGGTAATGAGGCCTCAATGTGGGTCATGGAAGCAAGGGCCTTAGTGGACAGGTTTGCATATCACTGTCAATGTGCATGTGCATCAACAAGTTGCACAAGATTATGCAGAGCTCAAACCACTTGTCTTTGACACAGGAACACAATGATTTTTGGCTTGGCCTAGGCCCTGTCTGCGTTATGTACAGCCGCATGGGGTTGGGCTTGAAGGAGATGGATGTTGGCTTCAAGACTCATGAGGCCTTTTACAAACAGTATGCAAAAGTCTGTGATGTCCTGACCATAGAAAATGTGACGGAGTATCCACGCGATGTGGTCCAAAAGCATTTGGGTCCCAACTGGAGCATTCAGGATGTGCAGGTTGATCCCAGGAATGTTGGCCTTGGGATGGGTCGGGCCAGAAGCTTTTTCATCGCATACCGGAATGACAAAATCCAGTGGAATGCAACGTATTCTTTGGAGAGTTTCCTTGAATGCCCCGCTTCGAAATCAGCGCTCTCTGCTGGAAACTACTTCTGGCAGAATCACCCAGAGGACAAGCTCAGTCAAGCAGAGGATTCTTGCCTATAACAGTTTAGGGGGGAACCAATTATTAGATGTTCAATTCAGGGTCATCAGGAAGCAGTTTACAACATTTACAACTAAGAGATGTTGGCAACTCTCTAGCAGTCTTCCCTGACGTGGCATTGTCACAGCAATTTTCCTATGACGGTCACATATAATCATATAGTCATATACCTGAGTCAATGTTACTCAGGAACGAAATCTCTCTGCATACCGATGCATTGGCAAGAAGTTCAAGTTCCCAGATCTAAGCCAGTATGCTGCCAACAACCGGGGGCGAGGGGAACTGTCAGATGGATCTCTTCCCACTCTGACCACCAACAGCTCAAAGATCTGGAGCGAGGACTGGGGGCCCAAACTGTTTGGTATCCATGCACATCATGTAGATCGTAGCACATAGTGTCAGCCTGGCTCTTGTGGCATGAGAATTGTGGTCTGAGATTGATTGGTTTATGAAATCCTTCAAAACAAATGAAACTGGATGTTAGGAGAAGAAGCGCTTCCTGAAGCCAACCGAGATGATGAGTGCGCAAACCATTCCATGTACCAGGATGCAGTCCAAAGCTGCTGGTGCACCCTGTGTTAAGTTCCGTGGTATCAAGCCCAGCAAAATTGCTGCAATGGCAGGCAACAGCCTTAGCGTTCCAACCTATGGATACGTGCTGCTAGCTGCGGCATGTGCTTTGGAGCCGCGTGTTGACTAGTTTTTTCACTGAAACTTGGGGATCTGCTAGAATGAGCTGCGATCCTAATTAGACAGGACCGAATACAAATTCAACCTGCTGCAACTATTCAATGCTTTGCAACAGCAAAAGAATTTCAGAAAATAGCTGAAAGCTCTGTGTGTGGATGTTCTGAAAGTGATGGCTTTTGATTTCAGATTCCTGGTTAGACCGTTGGGAAAAATCAGGTGTGACTGTTCCAATTTTACACCGCCCTTGCCCTTGCCTCAAGATCAAAGGGCTTGCCCTTTTCATCTCGCGCTTGGGGCGCACGATGCCCAAGCGAACCTCGGGGCAGACCCCTCATGAGGATGGGGATGCCAAATTTGCTCGTTCATGCCCATGGGCCCACAAAGTTTTGCAAGCTGCCCAGCAACTTCGCTGGTCTTAAGCATGGTATCAGTGGCTTTCAATACTGTTACTCATGTTCACCAATTGTCCAGTAGATGATGGCAAAATGCAGTTGCATTATGTTGCATTGATAAAATACATTGTCTCGGGTTCCGTCCCAATCGCTTTTCGGAAAGACAAGACTTTCTATCTGGACTTTCATGGACTTTCCATGCCCTGAGGACCTTCCGGCATAACCAGGTGAATGATCAACCAGAAAAGGAACAGAACCCATTCAAAATCTTTGAAGTCCCAAGATGTTCGGTCAGCTATGTTGGGCGCAATAATTGATCAGAACCAACAATGCATATGCCAACATTAGCACCAGCCTTTGGAGATAGGGATGAACTTACAATCAAATCAAGTGCCAGCCAGCTGTTGTTTCTCTTGAGTCATAACATGCCAAGACCATAGTATTTGATAATCAGTTTGACTTCCTCTCAATTTGATTTAAAAAAAATGAGATTGAGGTCTTCATTCGATCTCGATGCTGACGAACATCCTGTGAGATATGTGCTTGACAAACTCACGGAGGGGATCTACGAGCCACTCTTCGATTGGTTGACCAAGGATATCCTAGATTCTGAGACTACTTTGCCGGCACCGAAATCAGTGACACTTCCTGAGTCTTGTCATATCAACACCTTTTGAGTGTTGATTATGCTTGATGCTTTGAATCGAAATTTGTAGCTGGTCAATTTCTAGATGGATCATCAGGATGTCCACAAAACTCCGTGCTCGATTCCAGTGACCTGTCTTTGGTACGATTCCCCAGCTGATGGGCTTCCGCACATGCAGAGCTGGCTGGGAACTGCAGAATCTATCCTGAAAGGAGGCTTTGACAGCACACGGGAGGCCGTCGAAGTGAAGGAGCGACTGGCAAAACACTTCCAAACAGTTCGGTTACACCACAAAGGTTGGATGTAAAATTGTTTCATGAGAGCCATTTTGTACTGTCTCTTGTTCAATGTCTTTTTGTTTGTCTTTCTCTTTCTCTTTCTTTTTCTCTTTCTCTTTCTCTTTCTCTCTCTCTTTTTTTTTTCTCTCTCTCTCTCTCTTTCCGTTCTCTTTCAGCATCACCCCCAAAAGCCTACCCTCCTTTACGTATGTTTGGAGTTTGAATTTCGAATGATCTGCACCCTGCTAGGCTCATGAAACCAAAGAAGGGATGGCCCAGATCACCAAGGGATTGGGACGCACCAGTGTGATATTCTTCGCCTTGCTGTACACATACTATGAGCTGAAAGATCAACTTTCCAGATCTGAGCTTGGGGACTTTCGCAGGCTACTGTGCTGAATAGTGGGGTGCCAGGAAATGTGAATCAAGATATTTTAAGTGGAGGTGGTCATCAATAAAGTTTTGTTAGGGTGCTGACATTTGCCCGAAATCGACAGAATTCACAAACTGCAAACATCTAAATGGGGATGTCTCGAAATAGGGATGTTCGAAACCTATTCATTACATTTTCAAGCACTGCTATTTTGAGACATTCGCAAATATTGCCTGTGCCACCTTGCATTTTTTGGCACCTTCCCAAGGCAGTGCCAAATCACCTTTTTAACCATTGTTTTGGGCATACTCCTCGTAATTTGCAGGCTTTGGGGTCCCAAACTGAAACCTTACCAAGCTCAGCGGACCGCCCCGGGATGCACTCCTTTTTGGTGGATGTTTTGCATAGAAAGGAGTGCCCAAACAAAACCGTAAAAGCACCCCAAAATAACCCAACCCTAAACAAAACCTAAATCCATCACACTTGATCCCCCAAAACGAGCCTACATAGCCTGAAAGCATACTAAACAAACCCTAAAAAAACCTACGAGCAAGTAAACCTTAAACCAACCCTAAACCAAGTAAAAGTAGTACGTACAACATGTACAACCCCCAATAGAAACTTTGAGGAAGTGTCCACCCTGGAAAGTACAGTTTGTAAGACGAGTCCAATAATGGCTGATTTGGTTTTGAAATTGCATTCCTGGCCAACCATTTTTTGATTTTTGGTGGAACGGTTTTCCATAGTAACAATGATGGGAATCGCAGAATATCAAATTGATTCCGCAAATTAGGTTGATTCGCAGAATATCAAATCTTTTGGAACTTTCGCAGATTATCAACAAACAATCTGCAAAATGTCCTCCAGACCATCTGCGTCGTCTTTTGAGGAGCCCGACGGAAAAGTTTCCAAAGGTGATCCTCCGGGCCAAACCGTCGTCTTTGGAAACAGTACTTTTTCAGTTTTAAGTCTGTTCTACAGTCCAGTCATGTGAAAGAAACTCCTCCTATCCCTTCACCAGGGTTTGTTAGATTAACTTGCCAGCCGCAAATTGTTGGACCAGGTGGTTTGGGCCATGATGGTAGGGTATAGTCAGGGCTTCAAAGGTGGTGGTTTGGGTGGGAGGGTCGTCTTTGAAAACTTTGACGAATGGGTTTCCAAAAGGTGACGCATATTGTCTGGCAGCACATTGTTGACAATTTGCGAGATATATATTTGCAAAATGTCGCAACATATCAAGGTGCAAAATATCAATTATGCGTACAATATGTTGTGCATAATATCATTGGATAATTTGCCAAAATATCTATTGTGATATTATGCGATGCCCAAAAGAACCCAACTATCATGTGATGATGCCAAAGGTGGTGGTTTGGCCCAAACTTAGGAAACCTCTGGCCCAGATCCTTGTCCTGTTAGGCCCAGAATATGCCCAACTTAGGCACAACACAGATTTCAGGGTAAAGGCCTGGATTTGGGGATTCTCCATGGTTTAGATTACACCCAACTTAGGTGCACCAGGCCCAAAAATCTAGGCCTCCTAATGAATTTTTCAGGGATCCAATTTTGAAACAAACCAAAATGAACGGACTGATAAAACAGATCCTCATGAAGCTAGCCTTCGAACAAGTGATTGGACTCAATTTCTGAAGGCAACGATTTCCCTGCTGGTTTCGCACCTCCAAAAAAGGTGTCAAAAAGGAATCCCGTTTTGGATGCGTTTGTTTTTGTTTTTTTTGCACCCCAAAGGAAAAACTGGAAAATTACAATCTGAAGGAGTGATTGCTGACCATCAAGTTCAACCAGTGAACTTCAACACAAATTCATCAGAAAATTACACACTATCTCATTGTTGATCCAAGAGTGATTGAACAGCGCTCCTCACTGTGAAGGTGGCTGAAGACCTGCATCATGGTCAACTGCGTTGTGATGAAGCACAGCCACACCAGCCATATTGCTTGGAGGAGATTGCAGGTTCACGAACAACAAAGTGAACGTCAACGGAAAAACCCGTTCCAGAAAGCCAACATCTTCCATCAACGAGCCCATTCCAAAATCACTGAGGACCCCTGTGCTACAATCAGTTTCATGGAATCAACTGTGTTTCGATTGTCGAATATGAATATTTGGGCAGTTCCTCCACTTTTAGCTGGGGATGGGTGACCCTGGTGCTTTGGTTTTAGCGAAAATCAACTGAATGTGGGAGACCCTTTCTTGCCCCCAGTTGTTATGAAACAGACTGCAGGATCCTGAAAAATACAAAGGGGCAGCTGGCTACAAGGAAGCGTTTTTGGAGGGTGTCATGGAGTACAACGACTATGGGTATGCAAAGATGAATTCCAAGTATCAGGTGGAGGAGAAAGAAGCTCTTGAACTCTTTGGATTCAAGGTTTCTTGCCATTAAACCAGTGGTTGTTTTTTATTTCCCAAGATTTGAATTGACAAAGAATTATGTGATTCAAATGGCTTCCAATTGACCTTGCTAAATTTCCGTTTGGGATGGCAGGAGGGGCAGGAAGCGCGTGCAAGAAACCCCATAGTTTGCCACGATTGCCACCCCAAAACTGTAATCATAAGGTTGTATCACACAGATCTTAACTCTAATTTCAAGTGCTTTGGGAGATTTTGGGAGGGCAGGAGGGGCGCAGGAGGAAGAAACCCCAAACATGAAATCATCATCATATTGTTTCACTCAGATGTGAACTCTAACTTCAAGTGCTTTGGGAGGGCAGGAGGGCAGGAGGGCAGGAGGGGAGTGCAAGACGCGCCTGCGCCTCTTTCGCAAGAAACTTCATCATTTGCTGCAGTTGCCACCTCAAGCATGAAATCATCAGGTTGCTTTATTACACGGATCTTAACTCCAACTTCGAATGCTTTTGGAATGGAATCAGGGCAAAAGGGGCCCGCATGAGGAAAAACTCTCTGGATTGCCCCAATTGCCACCCCAAACATGAAATCATCAGGTTGTTTCAGAATTCATTATATTATTGATCTTAACTCCAACTCCAAGTGCTGGGTGTGAGTGCGTGTGTCTGTGCATCATATGTGCCCCCACTTGTGAGCCTCGTCGGTTTCTCGCAGTATCGATGTGCCTGTGCCAGGTTGGGCTATCTGGAGAAGCGTGGCAGCTCTTGGAACGGCACTTGCACAAGTATGTTTTTGCGAATTCAGGCCACAGCTTGCCAAACACTAAGATTTCCAAAGTTTGTCAACTCGATTTAAATATGGTGGAGGGTTGGGCAGGCTTCAGTTGTATTATCAGTCCTATTCAGCTTAAAAATAGAAACCTCAAACCTCAGAGTTTCACAGCTTGCGTTAAGTAATTAACTGTGAGATGTCTCCAATCTCTTGTGTCTTTACCCTGTCAGCCTTCAGCCGGGAGTCCTTGATGGATGTCAGGTGGTTTTTGGATGGTTTGCCCAAAACTACTGGCTTGTGCGCCCACTGGCATTCCATCTTAAAGATGGGCTCTACCAAGCAGGCCATGTTCCTCGACCGGATTTTCCACCTTCATGATATTCAGCGACGTCGTGCAGGGCGTGCGTGTGTCACACGATTGTCGCAGGAGCAGTGGGTGGCAGAGATTGATTCGATCTGCGTTCAAACCTATATCTATGACAACATGGTCATATCCAAGGACCCAAAGGGCAATCCTCAATTTTCCCTGGAGACGCTGAAGAAAGTCAAGCTGGGAATTATGGAGGGGCGCCTGGTCTTTGTTTTTGTTATTTTGGAATGTTTTATTTTCAACTTGAAGAAAGATTGATCGACCTCAAAATTCCTGTTTTTGGATACCTCCTGCTTTCATCTAATCCTACCAAAAAACGTGGCAGCTGAGGGACTTTGCTGATGATGCAGCCAACCACCTCTTGGCCAAAGACCCGAACTTCAAGCCAAGTGATTCCAGCATGTGGCAGGACAATGCACCTCCGACTGACACGCTTGATCCTACTAGCGGGGTTCCTTTGGGTGCAGCTGACGACAAACTGCAGAACCTAAGCAAGGATGCGAGACAAAAGGCATGGGAGCATGACAGCCTTTCTTTGGCCAGGGATGTATCAGCCATCGCAAAGATGCACGAGAAGGTGGTCAAGAATGAGAAGAGCCAGAGACTCCAACGCATCGCTCATGTTCGCAGTGAGAACATTGTCGGTGGCTCAGTGGTCACCCACCACATGGAGCAACATGCCAAGCACACGGCAGGGACGGAAGGTGATTTGATCAATGTCACGGAGCAGGCAGCTGCAACTTGTTGTTATCTTTTTGTCCACTGAAACCCTCTGAAACTCAGATTAAAGTTACCATTGATTGGGGTCCAATGATCTACCTTATGGTTTCCAAGATATAAAATGTGCGATCACCCAAACCAGCAAAACTGTTTCTACCATCATTCTGTTTCTCTCTCCAACATTGATCATTGACAGTGTTCGTGTTCACCCTGCAGTTCATTGCAAGCCGGAAATCTTCAGCTGGTGCTTTGCTGGTGTGGGCTGACTTGACAAAGTTCGGCCGGCTTGGAACATCTGATTTGAACTATGTTGTCAGCATCGCCCACAAGGCCTTGTCGAAGATGCCAGCCAAAAGCATTGCGTTCTTCATAGCACCGCACCTGGTATCCGAGAAAGTGTCAGGAGGGCAAAGAGGAGAAATCAGGCCCCTCAGTTCCAGACCACAAAACTTTGTTTTCTTGAACTGACTGTTGGTTCTTGTCTAGATGGATACACAACTGCAAGTTTTTTACAGCACTGTGGTTGTGTTGGAGATGTCGAATACTGCAATTAAAAAATACATAAAATAGTTTACTATCTCCCTTTAAGCTTTGAAATTCCAAAAGCTTCAGGCGCATAGAGGACAAATTCGATTCTCGTTCGATGCTGAACTACCTTATCTCAATCAGAATGGAATGCCCACCGGCGACGAAGCGTGTCTCCCTGCACATGTTGGGCTGGGCCGTGATGCTGGAAACAGGTGCTGAAGACAATGTATTCAGAAACAGCCAACTTCTGTTGGACAGGCCGGGAAGTTTGATGTTAATCATTTTGTTGCTCCCAAAAAACTTGATGCTTTGTGACTAGGAATTGGGTCCAGCAACCCTGTTCACTTGAAAAAACAACTTTCTGCTTTCAACCCTTCTTGAGACAGGAGCACGCGGCAAGCAGTTCCATGGGCCTCGGAGTCAACGTACATAGTGCCGGCTTCGGAGAAAGATGCGCTTCCGCACGCCTCAGAGGGCCATCGGAGTCTTGGCTTCTTAGACTAACTTCTGTTTGTGCCTGTATTCCGATGGCGTCAGACTAGCTCATGTTGGGTTGATGGTGTGGCTGCTAGATGAAGTTTTCCATCATCATTAATTAGTTTTCCATTGTTTCATCCCCATGATAGCAGTCTCCAGGTCCCATGAGGCCAGTTGGAAACCTAGCAGGTGGGGCTGTATTTTTTTACAAGTACCTAGTAGTCTGGACCGTGTGTTTCATGCATTGTGTGAGTTCGCACACTCAACCACTTGCAAATCAACATCAACAAGACAATGGGCAACCCTGAAGTTCTGATTTTGCTTCACATATTCACTTAACTTCAAGTCTAAGAACTTGGGTGCTGGGTCCCCTTTCCTCGAACCTCAGGTCACTGAGTGAAGTCCAAGAGTCAGCGCAACTGCTGACTGGAACCGACTTGCCAAACACTGTCCTGGCGAGCTTGTTTGGGAAACTGACCACATCTTCAGCACTGGTGATCAATGCAACACCATATGATGGCTGCCTTGAATCCACCCTTCTCACATGGCACCAGTTCAATGAGATGAAGGTCGATTTCCTGTCGATTTCTCGCAATGTGACCACCTTGGAGTATGTGGAGAAAAAGATCGCTTTCAGCTTGCTGCAGGACTTTTGGTTTCTTTTTTGTCTAACAAAAAACTCTGATTTTGCAGTGCTCACATGTGTTGCAAACCAAACCCTTTCAAATAAAAACAACTAGCTCATAGCCACCCATTTTCCTTGACCACCAGGCCTGGAAAAAAGGGCAGCATTGTATGGGAAATGTGCGTGAGTACTAGTCAGAGCCACCACCAGCTGTGGATGATGACATCATCAACCCCAACGACTTTAGTTTCAAAATAGTGAAGGTGGAAGTGAACAATTCCAAGTCTGGGTGGTCACGCTTCAAATTCATTCTCCCGCAGTCCGCGCGTGCCATGTACGCTGGGGATGTGGTGTTTGGCGCGGATTGGCGTGCTATGTGCCAGGAGTTTGACGACAGGTGTCACTGCTGCGCTAATGGTTTTTGATTTGTTGTTTTCTCACTTTTAATTCAAGTTTTCTCAACTCTACCTGATATGCCGTAAAAATATTCATATCAGAGCCCAGTGCATCCAGGGTTTCAAAACTGGCTATGACGCATGCAGTATGGTGCAAATAAAATGGGAAGGCAACAACATTGAGTCTGATTTTGGGAATCGCATCGTTGGAAAGCAACCACATCAATGTCTCACTCAGGTTTGATCCGAATGGTGGAACCGAAGCTTCAAAAATTGCCCCTGCTGCTCCTGCAGCAGCGATCCAGGCCGTGCAGCAGCTCGATTGGCCTGGTGAACCAAACACAATTGATGCGATCATGAACACTTACAACGTGGAGTCCAAGACCACAGGTCGCTGGCCGGGTACTACTTTGATGTTGGTCAATGCGAAGAACCGCACAACTGGAAAGATCGATCAGACAGTCCCATCTCAACAATTCAAACTTTTCCTTGTTTTCCTGGCTTTGGCTTAGCAATTTTTGATACTTCAGTTTCTGCTATCGAGACTTGCACTCTCTGAATTGAACTCTTGGGTTTGAAAGTCACATGGCCGGAATTACATTGAACATTTTGATTTGTTCAATGTAATTCCAGGTCAAATACACCCTTCTTACCTGGAGATATCGCATGGCCAGAATTACATTGAACATTTTGATGATTTTTGACGTGTTCAATATAATTCCAGGTCAAGTACACCCTTCTTACCTAGGGATGTTGACTGAAGGACCCTTTTCTTGCTTCTGGGGTGAATGTGAGGTTGCACACATGGACATTACAATCCCCAATGATGACTTTGCCATTTGTCACGGAGCCAGCCGCTTTGTGAAGAACGACAAGATCGCGGATTTGAAGAGAAAGGGAAAAACAGGCCATCGTTTTGTAATGTGGTTTCAAGGGAGCTGAATGGTGCTGATGTGCTTCCCATCATGTATATCACATATGAGACTAATTCAAGTATTTATTTGCGAAAACATTCCACAGATTCAGATCATGTTGTTCTCATCCACTCACTGGCCTAACGTCCTTTTGGCGAAGCCATCGCTTCAGCGGTTCGAGCCTGGTCGAAGTTCCAACTCTTTTGGAACCATGAGTTGTTCCAAAATCGCTAGCATTCTTGCGCAGCATGGATTTAACGAGGACTGAGTGTTCTCAGAAAGTATGTTCGAAATTCTATTGCTGCAGTCTCACGTTTCACCTCTCAATCCCGTGGACAATGATGGATTCAATGAATGCTTATATTTTTCTTCTACCACCCATGGACTAATGACAAACTGATTGATGTGAGAAATATAAGTGCCACATGCTGCAGGATTTCAGCGATATGGCTGCCAGAGAGCCTGATGTTGTGGAAACACCGCCATGTAAAAAGGTTAGGGGCTAAGGTTTTCCAGAATTGAGTTTCTCCGGCCATTCTTTTCACATTCTTCGGGTCTGATGCAGTTTGTCAAGCCCTGAATGTTCACCTTCAGCAAAAAATGAACTAAGTCCCTTGCCTCTCCAGCGGCATCTGATGCTTCCTCCCAGGACAAGTGATTCCAATGCTTGACTCACACATGAGAATTTGTTTACTTTTTGTCAGCTGAAAGTATCAAGATGTTGTCAACTGTGCAAAGCTATTCTTTTAAAGGCTCCAGTATGTCTCATACTGTTCTTTCAAGTATGTTCTTCCAATGATTGTCGAAACATTTTCACCTGGAGGAAAAACTGGCAAAGAGAAGGGAGTCAAAGTTGCCTTTGACATGGGCTGAGACAAACATGGAAAACAATCCTGAACTATCCGCAAAGGAAGTGAAAGAACTTCAGGCCAAGACTGTCGCTGCGAAGGATGGGCAGAAAGCTGCTTTTAAAAAGCAAAGGATGGAGCAATTCGCAAAGTCCAAGGAGGAGCCCAAAGGTCCCGGAAGGCCACCTGCGTTGAAAAAGCCTGATGATTCGAAAATCCTGCCAAAGACCAAGGGGACAAAAAGGATTCACAGTGATAAGAAGGACGAAGAGCTGGATTCAGAAGAAGAGCTTTCTGAGGACGAAAGTGCGCTGTCCGACAAGGATTCCGAAACTGAAGCCACAGGAGCCATGCCTGCGAAGAAAACCAAGAGAGTTGAACCTACAAAGAAAATCACCAAGAGACCTGTGCGTGATAGCAAGACTGCTGAACCTGCAGTGAAAGGCAAAGTCAGGAAGGAGGTCAAGAAGGACACCGCCAAAAAAACTTCAGCTGCGGTGATGCTCGGCTACCTTTCTGCACAGGAGATTGCCAACAAGGAGATGAAGGTATCGGAGAAGAAGCCAGCTGGAAAAGATGAGACAAGCAAATCAACAAAGTCTTCTTCAAGTCGTGAGGTGTTGCAGAAAACGGGTGCGAAGGACTTGGAGAAGAAGAAGGAGCGAAAGGATGGGAAGAAGGATGAGTCAGCAAACCTGTCACTCAAGGAGCCAGAGAAGAAGAAGGCAAAGATCACAGAGGAGCAGAAGAAGAACAACACGGCAAAGGTCTCTCGGAAGGAGGAGACCGAAGAGCGTAAGAAGAAAGAAGCAGAGCGAAAGATGGAGCAGATGGAAGATCAGAAGAAGCAGAAGGAGGCCCAGAAGAAAGAAAAAAAACATCATGATTCCAACAAGGGTGATGAGAAGGTGAAGGTAGCAAAGGCGGCAAAGGGTCGCTCGAATGACTCGAATGCGAAGACTTCCGCTGCAAAAGCCATCATGTCCATGGGATACGTTGTTGGGAAGCTTGGGAAGCCCAAAGTGAAGGGATCCGAGAAGGTTGCCCCTGCAATGGATGGCAGTCGCCATATCCCTGGCTCAGCCTCTGGTCATGGTGAACGCAATGGAAAGAAGATTGCAGGTGATGCCGTTGAGAAGCCCTTGAGACCTGTGAAACCCTCAGTTGTGGCCGAGCCCAAGGCAGTTTCAAAGTTAAAGGCCGCCGCTGAGGAGATCAAGGAAGCTTCTGATGCTGAGTCAGAGACTACTTTGGAGTTTGGCCAAACCGGCCGAGACAAGGAGACCAATCAAGATGGACAGCAGGAAGAGGTCGAACGTGAAAGTGAGCAAGAGAAGGATGAAAGTGAGCAAGAGAAGGATGAAAGCGAGCAAGAGAAGGATGAAAGCGAGCAAGAGAAGGATGAAAATGAGCAAGAGAAGGAGGAAGACCAGGCACTGCCAACCGCTGTCCCATAATAGCCAAATCAATTTTGCTTCAGACTACTGCATTCCGTACTTTTTTGGGTCCGACCTATCCTTCTTCACTGGGCTGTCAATCAATATCATGTCAGGTGCCTTGCAACATAGCAATTTTTTGAAGCCTCAAGTCCTGAAGCCTGAAACCATGTGTGCGTTTCCTGTCGCTTCTGTCCTGGAGGATGCAGACAGCACTGAAGCTCGTCCGTCGCCCAAGCCAAAGAAGGCTGGTCCTTTGCGAACCACGTGGAACCAATCACTGTCACTGTGCTGGCTCTGTGTTGCCATGTTTTTAGGTTGTTAGGAATGTCTATGAGCTTTGTTTGATTCAGTCATGCCTGCTTCAAAACTTACTAGTGAAACCACCCGAAAGGCCAAACATAATTTGGACAGAAACGTCATGCCAATTTGTTGGCATGAAAACTCTCGAGCACATGGGGTTGAGTCATACGTATTTCTCCCGATCGTTTCATTAGTTTTTCAAACTGGATCACTTCATGTCCCAACCCAGGAATGGACATTGATATCACACTGGCTCCCCTGAACAATCAATATTTCTGATGATGTCATCCACTAAAAACAAAAAAAACGTCAGCAATTCAGTGTGCCTCTGTTGATTTATGAATTTTGGATTCCCTTTGTGATGCCCCGCGCAAAACATTGATTCATGGCAGGCATCTCGCCCCCCGTCGACGCTGCAGTCCCGGTACTATGCCCACCTCAAAGAGTTCTCTGCCAAGGTGCTCTCAGAGAACCCTTCTATGTCCAAAAGGGAAGCCTTGGATGAGGCTCGCAAGATGTGGGCCACGCAGAACATAAGAAAACTAAATTCAGTCACAGATCCATTTAGATGCATCACACCTTCTGTTATTGATGCTACTGGTGCCCTCATCAGCTCCTCAAGCAAATCAATCTTGATTTGTATCACTGGGAGATCCAAACGAGGTGGCGCGATCACCCTGCACGCATCAGCGTCTTGAGAGGCATGAGCAAGGGCCAACTGAGCCGGCGACGCATCAAGCTGCAGAAGTCTGATCCCGAGGATATTGTGGCTGATGATGTCCCTGACGCCGACCAAATGATGGAGGAGGATCGATTGGCTGAAATGAACGACGACAGTGACAGTGAGAAAGAACATGCATCGGGAGAGGAGCGCGAGGATGAGGCTGAAGAACTGGAGATTGTGATCAGAGAAGCTGAGGTGGAAAAGTGTGATTCCAATGATGATGATGACTGTGATGACGCTGAGGTGGACAAGTGTGATTCCGATGATGACTGTGATGACAACGATCCCAAAGCCAATGAGGAGAGCGAAGAGTGCGAGGACATGCCAAAGGACGACAGCGACATGGACATGGACAGCGAAGACTTGGACGGATAGACTTTGACTAGGTTGTCAAATGCAGTGACAACACTGCCTTGTTTTGGCTGAAAGCTGAGCATTTTTGAGTGGTCATTTTGGGTCGTCATTTTGACGTCAAACTTATTCTTTTGGAGTCAGGCATGCAAGCTGCTGAGCCACACAAAACGATTGAAAGTTGAAACCATCATCTAATTTCAAAGTTCAATGAAAATGGCAAGCTTTGAAACTGTGACAGCAGTTGCTGCGTTGTGGGATTCATGCAATGCGAACATTGCATATTGAAGAGCTGGGCGAGATGTTTCGATGAATGCATCTCTTAATCTTAGAAACAGGGGTCCTTAGACCTGAGGCACTGCAGGTTGCTTCAGCCCGGATTCCATTCTAGCTGCTTGATTGAGAAAAAAACGTTTCTCCTGCTGACCTCCACTTGATTCGCAAACGTTTCGTTCATCCATTCCAGCCCCAGTGATCAATTACATCAACAGGTTATTGTGTCGATTTTCTTACTTTCTTCTGGCTGCTTCTATCCTTGCACCCCTGCCAGACGATGTTGCCCGGACTTGCGCCTGTCGCTGGGATTCTGATGAGAACAAGGTCGTGTTGGAGATCTCGGAGCCGGAAAAAAAACGAACAACAGACGCGCAGGTCTGTACATGGCGTGAACTCTACATGGATCTCGAGGATGAGGGTCATGTTGAGGTGACCATCAATTCACATGACATCCACCGGGTTTCAGCTGGCAGTGATGAGAACCGTGCTTTGTCTTTGATTTTGATTTTATTATGTTTCCATGTTGAAAATGAATTCATGTTCGAGTGATACTGTGATTCAAGCATCTCTAAATGGTTTTGTGCCTACTGAATGAAACAAGGTGAGTTCTACCTGAAGCCAAAGCCCAATGAGATGTTCTATGCTTGGAGCTCTCCATCACCCAATGGAGTCAAATACACTGCCATGGCCTCGATTTTCTCCAACGAAGCAGCTTGGCTGAAGCCTGGAGCAAATGCAGCAACAAACGTTGAGATCAAGAGTTTAGCCTTCAACTTCTCTGTTAATCATTTGAAAAACACATCACATAGCCGAACTGAGAGGCCCTTGAAGCAGCCAGACCTTTGGAAAGAGTGTGGCGGGTCTTCTACTCGACTGAAGCCAAAGAAACTCGTCTGGATCAACTGGTTTGTGCAAACATGTTCTCAAACAACAGATCCTTGCGGCAGACATGTCACACCAAGCCTTGCACTTGGGCAGCTGCTTTCCAAGGAGGTATCTCCGAGCTACTGGAATGCAATCTAGTGATTTTGATGCAACTGTCGCAGTATGAAGATGAACAAAGAAGTAGGCAGGTGGGAGTCTCTGGATTTTCACGAAAGGTAGCCTAGGCTACCTGAGTTCTATGTACTTTAGTACTAGTTTAGTACTGGGGGAGGTGGCTGCTCCTTTCCCGGAAATTGAAAGCCGAGAGTCACGAACGGAGACTTAGGGGGGGGGGCCCCCCCCTCCCCCCCCCATTCGATTCCCCCCTGGTCCGCATTTTTTTCTCTCTCTTTTTCTCTGACTCTGTACCTACCTCCTTATCCATCTATCTATCGATATATCTATCTATCTAGTTGTCCATCTATGTATGTATTTATCTATCTATCCTTGGATCTATCTATCTATCTATCTATCTATCCTATATTGATCTATCTATTTATCTATCTGTTTATCGATCAAGGTAGCCATCGATCTATCTATTTATCGATCGATGCTTCTATCTCTCTATCTATTTATTCATCTATTTATTTATTTATTTATAGTTTTATCTATCTATCTATCTATCTATCTATCGATGTATTGATCTATCGATCTATCGTGGATGTTCTAGTCCCATTGAGGCCGTGCCGGGGAATAGAGACTCGCAATGTTTACGTCCCGCACATGCGTGCGCTCGCGAAGCACCTGCATGCAGGATGGTTCACGCGCGCGCGCGCCGCGCGCGCGTGAAGTTACTTTACATTTGACATTATGTTTGTGATTCTATTCCCACAAAGCTTTTCTGGGGGCTAACATTTTCTTCTGCAGGAGGTTTGAGTGAAGAGAAGTATCAATCTCAGTTTGGCAATATTTTTCCTGTTGCTCTCTTTTGCCCCCCCCTACCTTTCGTCCCCCCCCTCTCAAGTATCTCACAGGTCTCTGGGTCCTTCTATACCCTTCTTTTTTGTTTGTCCCACCTCTCCTCCTCCAAGTTCTACATCAGTGTGGGCAGACCCGGGAGTGAACAGCATCCAGGAATACTATATTTACTATTATTAATTAATTAAAATTACAATTTAATTTAATTGTGAATTTTACAGCTGGTTGGGCACACAAGGGCCTGGAAAGTCACCTGAAAGCTTGCCAGAAAAATGACAAAAAATGTGTCAGATAGAATGCCAGGTTGAATGTCAGAAATAGTGGAATGCAAGACTACTAGATAGAATGTCCGCATCTATGTCAGACTGCCAGATAGAATTAGAATGAGTCAGATCAGAATATCAGAACACAGAATGAAGTGTCAGAACGCATGCCAGATACAATCCCAAATAGAATGCCAAATGATATGTCAGATCGGAGAACCAGAAAAATATGTCAGATAGAATGCCAGATTGAATGTCAAAATACATGTTCGAAAGAATGCCAGAATTCATGTCAAAAATAGTGCCAGGCAAGATAGGTTAGAGGAAGAATGGCATAATATGTCGGGATGTATGCCAGATAGATTGGATGTCAAAAAGAATCAAAATCAAAATGTCGGAATACATGCTGGATAGAATGGCAGCATTTATGTTGGATAGATTGCCAGAATATATGACCATTGCGAGAACGATTGTCAGAATAAATATGTCAAAAAGAATGCCGGATCTGAAAATATGTCAGATAGCATGCAAGATAGAATTTCAAAAATTTAATTTAGAGGATATGTCAGATAGAAGGCCAGATTGAATGTCAGAATGTAATGTGGGCAGAATTCCAGATAGATTCCAAATAGAATCATGATGCCAAATAGAGTGTCAATATCTCAGAAAAAAGAGTTGGTGGGGATCACTCAAATTATTTTGTTTCAAAGGGATGAATTGAATTATGCAAAGTTGATATTTGAGATTAAATCATGGTGCTTCTGTGAGGGAAGCCGCTCTACTTCATGAAGAAAAACATCCAAATGGTCGAAAACGAAGCGATCCGAATTGTGTGAAGCATTTGGCTTTTCTTGCAGCAATGACTAGCTGATTTTGACTCGAGAAATTTTCCTTTGACCGAGCGGAATCTCAATTCCATGATCCAAAACAAGTCTCTGCGGGTGAGCGAAAAGAATCTTCGATCACATTGCCAGCCTTTCTCCATGTGTGCAGTAGTCTCGTGATAAATCATTGAAGCTCATAGCTCGTGGGAAGTTGAAAACATGTTTCAGCCTTGCATCAATCCCAATCTCAATTCATGACTCCAACGACCAATCCTGGGAGTCCCACAGCCATTTATCAAGCTCAGGTCTTGCTGTCCAAACTGCCCCTGTGTGACACCGGGTAAAAAAAATCATTGATTGGATGCTCAACATTGTCGCAGTAACGTATTTTGGGTGAAGCATGGTGAAGCCAGTCAGCAGCTCATTTTCTCCCAATCCTTTAGGTTTGACCCTGAAACTTATGACTGGATACCACATCGATAGAACGTTTCTGAGAAGCTCGGTTTCTTATGTCTGAAAACTCTAAATCCTGGAAGCCCTGCGTTGCTGTCACCGGATTCTGCCCTTCAGTGCTGTGCCTGGAAGACACGGCGATCTCCAAGGCCAGTGATAGCGCTGCTCCGTTGTATTGAAAAATTAGTTTTACCTCACGAACCAAGCATGTCAATCTTTGAAGGTTTGTGGTGGCTTGGCGCAACCTGAAACTGATAATCCTCTACGCTGACTGCTGAAACCTGCTGAAGATTTATTTGACAGAACATGTTGGTTATGCAACATGTTACCTGAAGAGAACATCGCCAAAAAGAATCTTGATGTTTCGAACACTTTGAAGCTGTTTGTAAAGAAACATATATCGCAATGGAACTGTCAACCATGCAGTACGTTAGCCACACCGATCATGCACTGCTGCAGCCTGTGGCCTTCACAGTTCAGGGTCTTCCCCTATTTGTTTCAAGGGTGATATCAGTCAGCACATTACCTTAGTTATGATCCGAGGAAACTTCTGATGAGTCACCCAGAACGACAAACGACATCGATCCAGTACATCAAAGGACCCTTGGATTGTCTTTTGTTTTTTTTCGCTGCTTCTTTTCGGACAATATAGAAAAGTAGGATATGGGTGAAACTGGTCATGTTTCCAGTGGTTCCACAGGTTGAATACTTGTTGAGCAACCCCCCAATAGTGAGTCAGCCAAACATAATGGGCAGGATAGAGACCAGCGCCAGAAAGATCTTGGCTTTTGCACCACAATTACCAACATGTTTCTCTGCCAAAGACAAATCATTGATGATGTTTCCCTTTGGAAGTTGTGTTGTTGCTGCCATGTTGCAATCAAAGATATTCATGAAATACAAGACATATTATTATTTATCCAACATTTCCGACAGTTCCTGAAAAGATACACATCAAATATCCATGACACAACTCTTGGTTCCCGCGATTTCACAACAAGAAACACGCCAGGGGGCACAATAGATAGTATGACAATAAGACAAAAGAATGCTGTTTGTTGCACAGAAACACGGATAGATTTACAGCCAGTCCTGAAAGTATTTGAAAATCTATCAAATACATCTCAAAAAACATTCCAAGGCACTACTATACAATCCCAAAAATGTTAATGATCAGTTTTAAATCTCATCACCGTCATTTTGTGTAACGCCAGGACACCGTCAAACCGCTGTCTGGGCTTCATGTATTTTGGCCTCTTGGCAGGAATAGAACCAAGTTCTGATGGTTTTCTTGGAGACCACGCTATCCGTCAATTGAGTTGAGAACATGTTTTATTTCACGATATCAATGTTGGCGCATTGTCGTGACATCAGTTGCGATACCTTGCCTGGTAAAAACATAGATCTCCAAAGGCCGCCATCAAGCTGTGACCGGCATGTCCATAAGATTGACACAAAACTGTGACACTTCCTCCAAAGTATACTTCTAGATCTTCAAGAATCGAACATCTTGGTTGTGTGGCACAGTTGCGATGGAAATGTTTCCACATCGAAGCCAAGCTTCAAAATTCTGTAGCTAACCATTACTTTCATGTTTCTTCTTGCTTTGCTCCAAAGGCATGCTGCGCCAGCTTACCATAAACGGTTTACCATCACACTTTTACCTTGCTATGATTTTCTGAAGTCATCACAGATCTAAGGAAAACCGTTGTGATTCGTCAATGGCCTTGGCTGAGAATGATGATGGCATAGATTCAGTTTTGCAAAGCCCGTTGCAATAGAAACCAACGAGTTGAGCGCAGTTGAAATCAATGGGATGTTTTTTCATGTTGGAAAGTGGACTTTCAATACCTTACTAGAACTAGTTGGTGCATTCTTCCTGTTGCTGCTTTGCAAACTTTTGGTAGTGCTCGGTATTAAATTCTTTCCGTCTAACTAAATGTTGTTTTTGCAATGTCGTGGGGGCAAAATGGCCCTGTCTTCGCTTCGCGTGGCACAGCCAGCCCAAACTTGCAGCAATGTTTCGATTCCAAAAAATGAAGATGCCTTACTATATTCTCGCATGACTGTGATTCAAACAGCAAGCGCTATCCAGCAATCTACTACATGGTTTGTGATGCTTGCATGAAGCAGGTCATTTTGGCTGTAGCGAGGTCAGTTCATGCCACTTGCACTAGACCAGTGGCAAGCAAGAGTTGCTCAAAACATCTATGTCGCACTTACCCTGTTTGACACATTTCCAGCCTTTCCAGGGAACAGTTTCTGAACACCTTGCTTTCTAGTGTCTCCTACTGGCAGAAAATGGGTGGAGATAAGAATATCCTTACCAGGCTTTGCATTGAACACCTTGCTCCCTAGTTTTCAATGGTGAGAAATGGGAAAAGATACAAGTATCTGGATGAAGAGGTCCCTGAAATTGGATCTCCGCGGCGCAAAGCTTTGCAGAATATTTACAACAAAAAGCGATCCCTGGTGTTTTTCAATTCATTCCTGGTTGACTTGCTGAGATAGATGTTGTTTTTCCTATCTTTCGTCATAGGCATATGGTTGAACCTTTATGTGCTAGAGGGGGTCACGAGTGAAGCTGAGGAAGGCAGCGTGAGCGCGATGAAGCTTGCTTGCGTGATGCTCCAATTTCCGGAATCCTAGACTCTGACATGGTCGCGACTTGGGACGCTTATGGCCCTCCTGGCTCTGAGATGGCCTTGGTTCCAGAAAAGGGGAATGCCATAGCAGTTGCTGAGCAAGGTTCTGTTGGTGCAGATGGTGCTATGTGCCTGTTGACGGGGAAGGAACAAGCTGACCCACAGATTCAGATGGCTGTAGCGGAGAGCCGAGCCGACCCAGAGATTCAGAGGGCTGTAGCGGAGAACCAGAAGCGATACGAGGAAACTGGATACAAAGAGTTGGAGCGTCTTACGCATGAGACCTATGCCCAGGGACCCTAGGTTTGAACATGTCGTTTGTAAATTTTCATTGGGTGTTGTCAGTGAAGACTCATGAAGAATATGTCTCAGATTTGCTGTGTTGGGCACATGCTTTGAGAAAGAAAATCATACAGCCCTTGCAAGGACAAACCATTGCCCGCTTGGAGAGCCAGCTTCGGACCGTGTGTTTACTGTTGAGGAAAGAACAAAAATGTTCTAAAGAACAAAGACGTTCTTAGAGATCCTGCAGCGGGGTGCTTTGTGGGAAGAAAAAAAACGCGTGCAGAGGCTAGCATTCTCAGCAGCTAAGTCTGAATGAGACCAAGATGCCATTCAATCAATCAGTTCAGCTATGCTGCAACATGATGGAAAAAAGCCGTCGCTGTAGAAAGCTGAGGTCAACAATGGTCCAATGTACCCTACAAACTTGCAGGCGCCATCAGCTACCTTTCCAGCTGTCAGTTAGTTACGTTGCCAGTTTGATCAGGCTCAAGTTTGCTTGACTAATAGTTTTTGAAAGAATCGGACAAAAAAATGAAAACCAAAAAGTACCATAAAAACATTGCTATCCACAACCTTTGAGCGAAGACATTGCGAACACGAACCCTGCCAGCGCCGGCGCCGGCGCCGGCGCCGGCGAAAGATATTGCGCACTGACATTACGCAAAGAGATGATATTACGCAAGGAGTGCAATGATATTACGCAAGAGATATTATGCAAGAGATATTACGCAAGAGATATCGCGCAAGCATACGCAAGAAGGAAAGCGGAAGTAGATATTACGCGGGCATATTGCGCAAGCATAAGAGGCACCAAAGACGCAAGCAAACATTCTGACGCAACTAAAAATACATTGGGCATGGCATATCGAAGATCAACAACTTCTGTGCTTGATTTGTCAGCTGATAACAGTGTGTTTTGAGCAAACTATTTCTGAATGTTTGCAGTGCTAGCAGTGACATCCAATTTTTCTTGATTGCGAGATCTTGTTATTTTCAAGACTGTTTTATTCCATGTTTTGATATCTGCATCGGCTGTGCCAGGTGAACTCACTGAGCGATGCCGAATGATTTTTGTCACCAGACACCATCAATCATATCACGAAAGCTAGCTTGCTAGCTGGAGTTGGCTTTCCTTTAGGAATGTATTGGGAGCAGTCTTGGGGAAGAGGCAGTGATCTATCACATCGAAGGTTTCTGGCTGAAGCGAGCCATTCACATGAAGGGCCCCCCCCACCCTTCCCCCCCCGTACCTTTACCAGCCGCTTGTCTGACCCACCACCTCACTTCCTCCTAATCCAGTATCCGATTTGGTACCGCTAACTTTTGCACCACAACTTGAAAGCATCCGCTTTGCTTTCCCTCTTTTTGCACACAACATCAAAGCATCCGATTTTGTACCGCTACTTTTGCATCAAAAATTCAAGGCCGCTGTACTTTTGACTTGAAAGCATCCGATTTGGCACCGCTCCTTTTGCAACACAACTTCCAAGCATCCGATTTCGTACCACTACTTTTTCACCACACTTCAAAGCATCCGATTTGGTACCGCTACTTTAGCACCACAACTGCAAAGCATCCGATTTGGTACCACTACTTTTTCACCACACTTCAAAGCATCCGATTTGGTACCGCTACTTTTGCAACGCACCTTCACAGCATCCGATTTGGTACCGCTACTTTAGAACCACAACTGCAAAGCATCCAATTTCGTATCGCTACTTTTGTAATACACCTTCAAAGCATCCGATTTTGTACCGCTACTTTTGCATCAAAAATTCAATGCCGCTGTACTTTTGACTTGAAAGCATCCGATTTGGTACCACTACTTTTTCACCACACTTCAAAGCATCCGATTTGGTACCGCAACTTTAGCACCACAACTGCAAAGCATCCGATTTGGTACCACTACTTTTTCACCACACTTCAAAGCATCCGATTTGGTACCGCTACTTTTGCAACACACCTTCAAAGCATCCGATTTGGTACCACCACTTTTGCACCACAACTTGATACATTCGATTTGGTACCGCTACTCACGCAACACAACTTCAAAGCCTCCCATCTCCCACCGCTACTGTCCCAACATAAATGGGAAGCTTCCGATTTGGTACCCTGCCAAAATAACACCGTAGAACTGTCTTGCGGCGTGCCAACATAGCAGAAATCAATGCGTTCTCTCAGCTGCCTCATTCAGAAGTCTCGTTGGTTTACCCTTCCCACTTTCAAATTGATAGCTTTCGTTCCCTTCCCTTTGGCCTCAAATCACAGCTTTCAACAGCTTTCATTTCAAAAGTGATGGCATGATGGTGCTGTGCTTGGAACCAGCGGGCGATGGACTGCAGCGTGTGAAAGCAGGGGAAAAAAGGCACACAAAGTGTGATCGAACACACCAACCTATGCAAATTTCGGATGAATCCATCCCACACTTGCTTGTGGAGGACCTGTCGTGGATAGCCACTTACGATTCTATAGGACCTGAATGTAAAGTAATGAGACCTGAATGTAATGAAATTGACTTATAATTATATATTTATATATGCACACACCATGTTTTTTTTCTCCACCTGGGTTTGACTCAAAAAAAACCTACATTGATAAGTGCTACTACGGTAGTATATGGGCACAACCCAGAAACTTTTTGTGTCGATCATGCCAAGAAGGTGGCCACGCCTAATTACGAATTCAACGTATCCAAAGCAGTCTTGGGGTTCACAAAGACGCCGCCAAGCGATGCGCACTTTACATATCTTGGACATTTTGGACTACAAAGATATTTAGTAGGACCGTTGTACGTAGCCATTGGCTCCCTATCCGGAGGGATGCCTCTCGATACTCCAAACCATGCCCAGAATATACAACTGCAGGCGGCTGTCCATATTTCTTCTGTGCTTTATTAAACAGAGCTGGAGAATGCTGTGTTGACATGTATAGCCAGACCATCATATCATATCATATCATATTATATCATATGCAATCACTTTCGGCAGCACTAGTGGATGAAAAGAATAAGCTACACGGAGCGCGTCCCTTTTCCAGTGGCAAGGAGATTCAATCCCAATCATTTTGCATCATTTTGCCACTTGCAGTGTCAAACAACTTTGGTGCTCTTCAAGATATGCAATTTAACTAGAGGCGACTGAACCTATTGACAAGAAGGGTAAGATCAGAGTTGGGCTGCAAGGCTTTGCAACTTTGCAACCCACCTGGGTTATGTAGAAGAAACTACTAGATTCATGGGCTTGGCGTTCGTAACTTGGGAGAGCAATGGGTGCATTCTCAAGAGAGCCCGGAGGCCACAAAAAAGAAGGACAGAGAGAGAGAGAGAGAGAGAGAGAGAGAGATAGAGAGAGAGATGAGCTGAAGAGAGGTGTGCAGCGATCTGTCAGCCAGAGAGAAGCAGCGGCCCCAGGTCAGTGAGATGTTCAAGCATTTCAGCCTACTTCGCAGCGGAATCAGCATCCTTCTGATCTTCTTCGGCGGCGTGCTGTTGCTTCGCAACGAGGTGCGTTGGCCGGCGGCCGGCCGACCACTTCCATCAGCTTTCCTTTCCAATTTTGATAGTCGGTTCTACTGTGGCCCATTCTCCCAATGGGACGACCAGGCCAGGGGCATGCGAAGCATCACTGCTGGTGTTTTCTCACAGTGGCCCCACAGATCAGGTCATGATCTCTGACAACGTGGAGATCATTTGCATGTTGAGCATTGTGGTAGTGTCGATGTTCCTCTCCCGCTTCATGGGGCTTCCACCTAAGCGGGGGCAACCCTATGATACCACGGACAAGGACCGCATGTTCAAGAGCTGGGTGCCAAAAAGTATTTTGATATTTTGGTCAAATGCTGTCAAGCTGGCAAGGGTTCAAGAAAACCGAGCACCGAGCGCATCATGAAAAAACTGAGAGATTAGCAGATTTTTCAATGCGACTACAGTATCCCTGTTGCACCTGGCACAAGAGCCTACTGAGGACATTTCTGTGACCATCAAAGCTCTCTGTTGTTTCTCTCTCTGGCTTCCACTTGCCAGCTCCAAACTACACATCTAAACTATTGGTAACTATTGGGTGATTTGATTTGCCTTGCTGTGTCGCATCCCATGTGGTCGCCGTCAGGAGTCTGAAGGAACCCCTTCATCAATCGCCAACTCATCAGCCGCCCGGGCGCTGATGTTCCCAGAAGTGGCGCAGGTAAGGCACTGATACCATGGCAGCAGCTGCCGTTGACCATGCTGAAAACAGTGGGTAGGTAATGGTAATGGCAATGGAAATGGCTTGGCAGTAAACTATCATCTATTTTGTTGTATTTGTTTTGGACAAGCTGACAAGTGTGCGAAATATTGAATTTCGGAACATTGAATCTCTGTCCAGAAAGATGTCAAAATACCTTCACAAATGGAGGAGGCTTCAAGCATAATTACTCCACTTGGCGAAGCCAAGAACATCGGTGCAACGATGGACCATGCAGACTGAGGCAAGTAGTCCCTAACTTATTCTTACAGTGATTCAAACGGAACATGCAGACGAAAAAGTCATGCAAAAAGATGTGGGTTTGGGAAAGGGCAGGTGCTTGAAACATGTTTGCGTTGATGTATATTTATATGACTACCATCCGGTTTTTCAAACCAGAGGTAGCAGTTTTATCCAAGGATATTGAAGAAGCAACATATCTTTTATTTCCACCTGTGGGGCGAGTGCGCATGTGTTCAAACAGTCCTATCTAGATTCGTTAACTTAAGTGTTAATATACGTATATATGTTATATAATATCTTTGGTGAAATCAAGCACTTGTTCCTGCAGACTGTGGGGGAGCCAAAAAACTGGAGTGGACTGAGGCAACTTCAGTGTCTCCCAGACCCCTTGGAACAATTCAGACACATCAAATTGTTGAAATTGTACTTTGGTCATCAATCCTTCATGGTTTGTTCAGTTTTGGTTTGGAGAATTTTCAGTTCGAACCACCCAGAGAGCGCAGGAGTTGCCATCGGAGGCCCAGTCGAAGACTTGGTGTGGATTTGTCCCCTTTGATGTGAAGCTCCCAGAATTGGATTAAGGAAACATCTGCACTATACAAACCCAAACCCATATGTATATAACTAACTGTATTTATAGATGTGTATATATAGATGTGATGTGTATGTATATATATATATCTCTCTCTCTCGGAGTTTCGCTCTTCCTCTCTCTCTCTCTCGCTCTCCATATATAAAAGCATATATTATTATATCTGTATACTTGGAGTGTATACAAGCCATGGTTTCATGTAGATGGACCCAGAAACCAATCCATTGAGAAACCCTTTGTCAATTGTTGTTCGTGGCATCCCTGACGCACGGTTGTTTTTCACCACGCCCGAAGCCTCAAGCTTTTCTCACCATCAGGCTGATCGTTTTGCTGCCGATACACATAATGCGGGATGCAGTTCAACCGACATTGGCATTTTCAGGTTGTAAGGCTCCGAGGAGTCACAGCTTACCCAACAGGACCCACCCTAGTAGGGGCACTGATGAGATCTCATGAGGTACTCCCTCCTGCAGCACTGCAGCAGCCTCAAGACGCCTTACCCTGACCCATTTGCACGACGCAGACGCAGCGACGCAGCCATGGGGCAAATCGGATCTTCCCCGCTGTCGCCACTCTGCTGCGAACCACAGTGCGGTGTCCCAGTTGCGAACGGTTCACCAGCATGGACTGGAAATATTGGTATTGGTATTGTTAAGATTGGTGATTACCTGGAAAGCGTAAACTCTGCTGCTTCTTGCGCCAGATCTTTTGGCAAACATGTTGGTAAGCAGATTAATGCCACGCGCTAGTCATGTTGAATCTTTTGCTGGAGGATGACCACAGTATCCCCCAAGACCTTGGGGGCCTTGCTTCACCCACCGCTTCATGAGCATCTGCATCCTGAGTCCTGAAGTCGCTGAAGTCGATAGCCGTCAATGTTTACATCATTTGCACATTTGGGGTAGTCCAGCTTCGCCCAAGTTAAAACTCAATTCTTTCCGCCCTTTGGAATCCCTTGAATGGTGGTACATGGTGGTACTGTGCACTTCCGGTTATCGTGCCCCTGGCAAACTGGCTCCACGGTGAGTAGCCATCGCGCAGCTGGCTCAAGTTGCGACCTCAGAAGGTGGCAGATTTCTCAGTGCCGGAACATTCCGGATCGAAGTATCCTTCCGGCATCATGATGCAAAAACAGGACAGGACTAGCTGAAGCCTAACTTAATTTGGCCAGGCCGCACCAGCCCCAGTCAAGATTTGTTCGACCTGACTGCTCATTTGCTTTAGCATCAACATCCACCATTTTGGGTATGTGTTTGATAAGTCTGGTCGGCAAGTTTCCCAGCTGGTTGAAGCTACCTGTAGCAGAGTTGCAACTTGTGAGTATGTTTTGGAGACAAACTTGCCAAGAACAGACGCCTTACACATATAATATCATATAATTATTATAATTATAACTATATAACGCGACTGCGACTCTCATCCATCCTCCAGTCAACAAACATGGACTCAGACATGGATAGATATGAACATAAATTCAACCATTTGCAGATCATTATCATCATTTCCTAGGGCCTAGGAACAACCCCGGAATTTCCATAGATATTTTTTTTCTGGGGGGGTAAAGGGAACCAAAGCCATTGTCATACCGTGGTTGTACCATCCAGTTGTCTTCAGGAGGCTGCGGCAGGGGTGTCCTTCACCACAGACTTGTCCAACATCGGCAGTGGAAACTTGCTCTTGAGGGCAAGAAGTGCTGGGGTTTGGAGGATTTCCTGGCGGGTCTGTTGAATGGTCACTCTTCTCAAAGGGTGCAAGAATAACATAGAATAACTGCATCTTAGCTGTAGCTGCCGCAGCGGTGCCCAGCAGTGAACAGGAGCTCCCATGGTCCCATACCTTTTGATTTTGAATTCACCGGAGCATACTGGACCAAGTACTTCATGCTCACTACTCGTTTCAAGGGACCCAAAGTCAACTAAGCCGACTAAGCCTGACTCAGTCCTTTCATGGCAATATGTGACTGCCTCTTTGCTTCGGGCTGCGGTCATGTTTGATCCCAGGAAAACACAGTCGGATTTTCAACGCTGGTGGCGGCGTCCTGCAAGAGGAACGCCGTTTGATCGACAAAGTCTTCAGCATCGTGGACAAGGACAACTCTGGGCAGGTGGACATTGAGGAGCATCTCGGTGAGAATGGTGACTTCCACAGAACCATTGGGGACATCATGTTGCAGCCTCACCAGGATGGATGGACCGTGATAGATGGGTGAATTCATGTTAATTCATCATACAAATTCATAAAGTACATAGTTGCATAAAGTATTGTTGAAGGTCAAAAAGGGGAAGACATGGAACGACCAAAGCACTCAAGTGTAGCAAATTCCAGGGCGGGGAGCTGTGACATGGCAAGACTGGGCCGACTGGCCTATGGCTCCAAGGGGGGGTAATTATGCGCTACACCAGTCATCATGTCATTCATTTGTTGTTATATGTCGTGGTTTGTTGTTATCATGACTGTGATGCTGATTATTAATTACTAGTTACTAGTAATTCTACACACACACATATATATATATATATACACAATGCGCATTATATATATATACACACATATATATATATGTATATGTACATGCACATGCACACACACACACATGTTTGCAAGCATAATGTGCATATATATATATACGTATATATATATATACGTATATATATACGTATATATATATATATATACACGCATGAATTGATACATACATGCATTTAGATAGACATGTTCGTTTTTCAAAAGACACGCTCCTACCGTTTGTTTTGCACTTCTAAAGATCCATACTCATACAAGTCCTGCGGTCCAAACTATGATTTGTGATCATGCCTTCCATGCACGTTTTTCCATTCTTGTCCTCTGACAGATTTGATGATTGGGGGCCAGCCAACTGCTCGCGGACAGAGGCTCAAAGGGATGTTCAAGATCTTCAACGTGGAGGCCAGTTTCCTCGAGAGTGCCATCAGCAGGAGCCGCTTTGTCATGGCAGCCATAGTTTGCAATGACAGGCGTCAGCATGAGAATATTTCAGACCCCAGTTGCGAACCGTTTCCAAATGAACAAATCAACACAATCCAATACAAATCAATACATGGTCATTCCAGACCCATGTTCATCCCATTCCCGTTGCTTTTCGCTTGCCTTGCTCTCAACGGCGCTCAACAGCGCTCAACGTCGGCGCAGGATCATGTCCAACGTCGACAAGGATTTGGACTACATGATCTCGCCACAGGAGTTCTACACCCTCCTGTCGCAGAAGTTTGAAAAGGATGACCCCAAAGAAGAAACTCGCCGCAGAACCGATGCTTATGATTTTGCAGTTGATTTTTTTGGGAACTGAATCAGATCCAGACATGTATGGATTCATTGGACTTTGAAGCGAAATGCCCAGTTACCGTTTCAAAGCTTTCAAGCAGTTTGTAATATTGGGACACAAAAGAATCCACAGTCCAAAGGACGTCAGAAATACTCGCCATTCGGTCTGCACTGTCGTGGAAGCCCGCTGCCAGGGTGAAGGCCAAGTTGAACACATGCAGAGATAATATATGATGATGTAATATATATATAACTTACGTATTAATTATACAACCATAATTATATAAATATATAATTATATACATATATGTACAATAAGAACCAATAATAAGATGCAATATTGAACACATACTTGCGCAAAACTGTATTTGCATTGCTAAACCCATCCAAAAGGCGACGATTTTTCGCTTGGTTTCCCGCGCTTTTTGTTCTAGGTTTTACCAGCCTGCCACAGCAATAATGTGGTAAACCTAAGAATAAAGCAACTCCAATTTCCCATAACTGGGTAGCAATTACGATCCCCAAATGGCATATTGTTTATCGAAGTGGGTCTATCACAAAGTCCCTTTTTTGGGGCTTTGTGGATTTTGGTTTCCGTCTCACCCAACAAATCGTGATTTCTGTGATTTCATAGGATTTCACATATTTTCTCCGAGGAAATCATGGCCGTCTTCCGACGTATGGATAAGAACGGCGATGGCCATTTGGATGTGGATGAGATGCACGAGGTTGCCACGATGCTGGGTGAGGACATTCCCAAGTCCGAGGTGAAGGAGATGATCAAAATGTTTCCCAGCGGTGAAGTTCGACTGGGTGAAGTTACCCTCTGGTAATGACTAACATAGCGAACTGGAAAGATCCACCATTTTCAATGGGAAAATCCACAATAAATGGTGATTTTCCATAGCTATGTTAAATTACCAGAGGGTACTTCATGATAATGTCTTCCCAGCGTAGATGAGCATCCTGGAGATGGCAATAGATGGCAATAGATGGCAATAGATGGCAATAGATGGCAATAGATGGCAAGAGAGAGAGGGAGAGAATCATCTTTGCCCAGACAGAAGGATGTGAAGGTTCTCTCCAAACATGCGAGAACATGGGATTTGTTTTTTCTTTAAAAGATTGATTTCGGTATCTCAATAACCATTTAGATTTGACAGATTCAGGCTTTCCACACCGTTTTCGGTCACAAAGAGAAAGTCGTAGATTCCAGTACATTTAGGCGGAGGGCCAGAGTGTTCAGTTTGGGTATTGAGTCTTTTTGGGTGGCAATAAAAAAGGATTCTACAGGCAAGGACTGCTTGTGCATTGGGAGGTGTTTCTGAAACAATATACTGTAATAAGATGTAATAAGGTATATAATAAGTTTAGGCAAGGCTTCCATTTGTGGGCTTTGTTTCTGTATTCCATCCTTTTCCATCAGATCAGACTACATCAAATACACAATTCGTATGGAATCCGCGAGTTTCATTTCTAACTTCACGTTGGAACGCTGGGGGGTTGGTGCCATGGACTCTGCTCTGAGGTTCAACAGAAAGTACCAGAAAGACCTGCAGGAATACAACAGGCGCCCTCGTCATCCAGGGTCACTAGCCGGGCAGAAACCGACCATCCACACTCTAACTGGCTACTGCTATATCCAGTTCTGGCGTGTTAGTCTTTATGCATACCTATTGCATACCGATTGCATACCTATTGCATACCTATACGCGTATACGCACACACAATATGTCCGTAGATTCTATGGATTCGGGTTTCTCATTTTTACATATATATATATATTTTTTGCAGCATCCATTTCTGATCCTTTCTCAACATGTTTGCCAGGAACAAACGGAAAGCGTCAGGCACAAAGGAGCCGCCTGTCCCAGCGAGCATCACCGCGGACGACTTCTATGCCGTGATGCAGGAAGAGCTTTGATATGCGGAAGGCCGCAGTGAAATTCGAATCCCACGGGTATTTTTGCGGCGGCTCCAGTATGAAAGAATCTGTGAGAGGAGTGACAGGACCAACATGGAGATAGTAGTATACATATATACAGTAAATGTTATGCATTAGATAGATATGTATAATATTGTATAATTATATATGCAGTGTTATGCAGTATAATATTATATGTATACAGATGCACATGCAAGTACTGGTTTGATCAACCTAAGACTGCTGGCTTTTTTTTGGAGCAGCCATCCTAAATCCAAGAAACGGCAACACATAGTGCAACCCACCCTGTAGCTTTTGCATGGCCCGTGCTGTAGAACTGATGCGTTTCCATTTTCACCAACATTGTGGGAGGTGTGCGTGGTAGATTTGCATACAGTCCTTGACTGTCATAACTCAGCACTCCAATTAGAGCTAATCAGAGGATATTTGACTTGAAGGGTATACCAATGCCATGCATTGCCCGTTTGCTAGAGAAAGGAACAGTAAACAGATCATATTGTTGTCCCTATCAAGGTTCAACTAATCATCTCAAAGGGTTGCGCACCTCCAGAGTCGCACCACGTTTCACACAACCTTGCAGCCGCAATTGGCTTACGGTTCTCTCTTTTTTTGTGGACAAAACGATGCAGCCTACGCGCTCTTGCAGCTGTCAGCATGGTTCATCCAAAATGAACTTGGGGAGGTTGGTGGGGCTTTTTTTTGGGTATCGGACCAGAAGCGTAGTCTGCATTTCACAGTCAGCTCCACTAGAAGCAGCTCAGGGAACGTCCCGTGGAACGCGGTGGCTACTGTGTTCAACTCGCAGCAACTCCACTTTTCAAGGTGCAGCTGGAAGGGTAGGCAGTGACTGGCATTTGAAATACCCTTTCTCATTCCTTTGTCCAAGTTCCTGTGCGTACATACTATAACATAATCGACGTTCATTCATATAATTATAATTAAATAATTATTTGATGTTTCTGTACCCCTTTTCTTCAGTTTTCCCAAATGGCCAATGACCAGTTGGTGCCGGTCTCTCAAATGTAGGTCCGTACAAATCGCCCCGATGGCACTGCCTGATGGCACCGTCTTGTTTCAACTCAAGAAATGACAGTGATATTGATCACGACAGGTAGCCTAGGCTACCTGAGTTCCATGTACTTTAGTACTAGTTTAGTACTGGGGGAGGTGGTTGGCCCTTTCCTGGAACTTGACGGCTGGAAGTAAGGAATCTCCACATCAGGGGGGGGCCCCCGCCTGGTCCGGATTGGAAAAACTCCCGATGTATTTGATGCTATGCATTTTGTTTACGGTTGGCTTCATGGAATTTCCATGTTTTTTTTGGTCAGTTTGTTTCAGAGTACGGCCTGGGTCTCCTTTTCAATCTTCGATTGCGTTGACAAAACTCATCCCGTGGGCAGCGTTGTTTTGTGTAGGAGCTCCATGCTCCAACTGGAATACTTTACAAGACCATTCGATGTTCTTCACAGGTCATGGACACTGCTCATGTTAGATAAGAAAACAATAGCAGTACGTCCCTTCGCAGCGGCGCTTATCCCTGAGCCACAAGCCTTTTAATAGTTCCCACGAAACAAGGACGGTTTCGTCTCCTGCAATTCTTGTTGTTGCTTTTGCTTCAGACATCTTCACGCACTTAGCCGCATGAATTACATCCCTAGAGACTTATCCCTACACGCAAAGTGCCTCAACCGAGCGTCCATCGGTTGAGGCACCTAGGCCCCTCCAATTCACATAGCTGGCCAACAAACTGACTAACATTATCTTGCTTGTGGTTCTTATTACTGACTATGGCACAGGGTGGGCGGAAGTTAGATATTGAGACAAGATGCATGCAAGAAGTTGCTGATGCCGGGGAAGTTCGGGTATTGCAACAACAAAAACGTAAGAAGTGGTGGAGAGGCCAATGGCGGAAGTCTACGTATGAAACGAAATGGATGCAGGAAATTGAGAGGCACCTAGGAGGAAGGGAAAGTTCTGAAACAGGATGAGCGCAAAAAGTTGTTGAGAGATATGCCCCCAACTACCTTTCGCCCCC